CTTTCAGCCATAGACATAAAAAATTTGCCATAAATGATGCTTTTAAAAGCAGTAATAAAAATGAATTTTGTATTGAACAGGAAATAAAAATAAGTTCCTATCAAAATATAATAGTATCTGACTAATTCTTTTAGAGTTGATCGATTTATTAGCATGCCTACACTTTATGTCGCCACCATTTCTGTACTCATAACTTTTCTATTTTCAATTAGAATCATTTTTCACATCGATTTTCTGCCTCTCACAGCACGTATGTTGTCTTCTTGTTGCTTGCATACCTTACTTTTCTAAACGCTTTGAGAATATCTTCGTTTGTTTTTGAAGAAATCGTAATGTATTGTGCATTTAAATATTTGTGAAAAAGGAATAAAACAAATCTAGCTTTTCAAAATGAAAAAATGGCTAGGATTGACTAAGCGGAAAAGTGATGATTCACAGGTGATGTGTCCAGGACAATTTATTAGCATTAAGAATATTGAAAAGAAAAGAAAAATTGTTTAGAGAAAATTTTTAAAATTTTTCTTTGTGATTCAAAATTTGAATTGCAAAATTGTTTATTTTGTGAATTATGGTTAGCATATTTAGTTGATATTTTTCGAATGTTAAATGAATTAAATTTAAGATTACAAGGACAAAGTGTTAATTTGTTTACCGTTAGAGATAAAATAACTTGAGCTCATAATCAGAGTATTGGATAATAATATTTTAAGCTTTTCACCATTTTTAGAAAGTTTATAACTGAAAATAATTTGAAAATAAAAGAAGAACTAGTATCCGACATTAAAAATCATTGTTTTTCATTGATAAATTATTTCAACATGCATTTTCCCGAGGATTATGAAAAAGAAAATTGAATTAGAAATCCATTTCGTTCAAATTTACCTGAAATTTTATCTTGTGAAGAAAAGGAACGATTGATAGAAATTTCCTGCGCAAAAATAACACACCTGCTCGAACTGTTTGAAACTGTCTTTTTATTAACTAAACATATTTACTTTTTAAAGATTTACTTCAAAGAAAAATAATATTCTTATAAATTATCGATCTACAAAAAACTCGCATTATTCTATAACAGATGATAGTGAATTTATTTATTATTTATTTAACTTTATGTATTTATTTAGTTGTAATTTATTTTATTTAAAAGTAAAGATATATCATAAACATTATTTAATGTTAATTGTTCATTATTGCCCAATATTTTCGTTTTTAACCATAATATAAAAGCTGTTCCGTCATTTACTTGCTACACTAAGCATCTGGAAACAACTCAACATTATCAGCCAAATAAAAAGATAAATTAAAAGTCTTGTTCAATAACTGCAATTTTTAAAATTTATGGAAAAAATTCGATATTTATAAATTTCTATTTCCGTTCTTCAAATAGTTAATGAGGCAACTAGAAAGAAAAAGGCGGAAGGTTTGGAGAGTTGGTGAGTCTGTAAGCCGTTATTTACATGAAACGATAATTAAACATTTGATTTTCTTTGTCAAGATATGAGCTGCCAAACGTGCGACAATAATTTAGTTGGATTATGCCGAAGCATGCGAGAGTCTATCCACGTAAGGGAAGGTATGTCTTCGTCGAGAAGTTAGAGAAACTGGTTTGTATTCATGGTAACACATGGCCGAAACAATGAGAACTCTGTGCAGCCAGCCCGTTTGCCAGGATCTGACACATTGTAGGGCCCCAGAGAATTTTTCAGCCTAGAAAAGTATAACAGGTTTTCATGGAAAAGAGGTAAGATTTTAATAGCAATAATAAGGGAAATAAAACAAATAAGTCAACTTTAACATGCTTTTGTAAGATGATGTTGTACCATCAATAATATCCCCAAAGCCATAATTTTCAACCTCTTTTTTGATAATTCATTTTGAAAGTCTGTTCAATCACTCTGCATATAACATTGAGAGAAATAAATTTGACGCACTTTATACTACTAAAAGAATGTTCTATATTTGTTATTGACAAGATAAAAAAAATTCTTAGTTCATCTTGTAGGGTTTATATTTATTTTAACTAACATTTATTTTAAGTTTAAGCTATCTTTCCTGTCAAGCCTTTACTTTCCCCTGGAATTGCCAATGCCAGAGTATGTAAATTTTAGTAGAACGCGCAGAGTATTCAATTTTTAGCAGAAGTAATTTGAGTTAAATAGAAGGGAAACAAGTTTGTAGGTGTGCTTTCTTGATTCACGAGCGTGGAGGTTGCTAAGTAGAAATTTAAGAACCGCGCGTTTTGGCCTGTGTGCCTACTTCGGCAGTTAGTTGAATCTTTCAACTTCTTATTCAGAAAGTTTGCTGAAATCTCAGCTGTATCTAAAGGCCCGTCCACACGAGGACGCTCCCGACGTAGTTGACGTAACTTTTTTGACGCCGGCGTAAATTCGCAGGACGCAGAAGACGTAAAACTGAGTACGCTCCTGTTCAGCTTTTTCGCCCGCGACGCGCGCGTATAGCCAATAGCCGACCGAGTTCTTATCACGTGTCATAATCAGAAAACCTTCTTGCTTACCCGTTTCAATATGGCGTCAGAGCCACTCAGAGATGAGTTTTTGCTTAGAAATATAACTGTATACAGCAATAAAATAATTAGCATTGTTCATGCCATCTTCAGATTTCTCAAACCGTACATATTGGTATACATTTAAAATTCTCATTAAAGTGAAAACTGTATATTTATAAAGCAATGATCCAACCAGTATATCCATATGCTTCACCTATTTATAACACCGTAATTAATAAGAACCTAAATAAATTACAGTTTCTACGAAATCAAAGTTTCTGCCTTGCAAAATTCTCCTTAATTATTATAAATATTGGCTATATCATGTGTAATAAAAAGCTCTATAAATATCCCAATATTAAATATACCAAAAACTAACTTCAGCAATATAACAGTTTCTAAAATAAAGCAGTTGACTGTGAAAGAGTATTCAATAAAATACAATTACGAAATTTTGGAGGAAAGTTACAACTTGTGTCATACAGCAATCATTTATTGAAGTTTAATTAAATTACCTTTGCAGCGACTTCTACTTGTTACATTATTTTTCGTAAACATTGCTATGACAGATAGCTGACTGGTCAGCGCGCTGCTTTCGTGGCGGAGGAATGGAAAGGTGGCGAGTTCAATCCTCACCCGTAGACGGTATATAATTCAGTTAGCTTTTCTCGTTTTGAAACGTGTTTCTTATATTTAATCGTGAATCATTATATTCTTATTTTACCTATTATTATTGTTTTCATTTCTTGTTTTATTCATTATTATTATTATTGTTTTTAATTTAGTTTAAAAATGTGCAGTGCAAATAGTTAGAATCCTTATGTAGTAATATATCTGCATCTCTTTATCATATATCATCTATACATTCTCTCTTTATTTTTACTTTATTGCATATTTTATCATGCACAAAATTTCTCATAAACTGTCCAAAGTTTGAACCTCATTCTAAATTAAAAAATAAATAAAAAGAAAAACAAAAGACCAAGGGAGAGCGAGTTAAAAAAATATGAAGTTGGTTTTATTATATGGTGGATCGTGTATATAAAGAGAATTAAGTAATTTAATTCTCTTTATATACTGTATTCCAAACCAATTTTTATAATCCTAATTTTCATACGATATAGAATCTGCAAGTCTGCCAAACTGGTCGATACTCATGCCTGAAGGAATTAAAAAACAAGTAATATACCCCCCCTCAAAAAAAAAAAAAAAAAAATTAAGTCAATTCCTACTTAGGTCCACAAAGAAAAGTTTAAAAATAAATAAATAAATAAATAAATAAAAATATAAACAGAATTTTTTTAATTAAAAATTTTAAAAAAATTAATATGTGAAAAAGCTGTATTAACATCAAGTGTCATTCAGTACAAGTTTAAAAAATTGTATTTGAACTTGAGTGGATGAATAAAAAGCATTTTATGTACTGAAAATTTGAACAAGATGTAGGGAGAGTGTGAGCTAATAGTAGGAATTTAATAATTCCGGATATTCCTTTCGCAAACAAGGCAGTAAAAAAAAAAAAAAAAAAAAAAAAAAAAAAATCTCTTTGAACAGGTCGCTCTAAATAAATCTTTCGGACTCATTCTTGCCATTTTTTGCGGTTTTGCCTCTGCTTAATAATTGTACATAATAGTAAAGTTTCAGCTATAAAAAAAAAATCATCTGATTCGGACAACTTGCCGCAAACATACAGAAGAACAGCGAAGTAATAAGATACGGCTCTGTTGACGTTATATTACAGCGTCACGTGATTTTTGCGCAAAATAATTCTATTGGTTAAACGCACTCTTCGCAAGCGTACTCGTTTGGACGCTTTTACGCTGGTAACGTAAAAGCGCGTTAGTCAGCTACGTTTCGAGCGTACTCGTGTGGACTGGCCTTTAGAACGCGGTTAAGTTAGTCACGTTTATAGAGCCTCGAACGTAGTGACTTCGTTATTTATTTCATCCTGTTATTTATTTTTAGTTGTACTTTTCTATTTTTATTTAACCGCCGGGTCGGCGTAGTTTGTGAGCGTCAATAAGTGGAATAAAAAGGGAAAAAAGTGGAATAAAATAACTTCTTAAGAGTTTGTGTAATTTCCAGTTCATAGCAGTCACTACTACTGTTGCGGACAAGTTGGGGCCACGCAACACCACAATCTAATTTTTTTTTAAGTTTTATTTATATATGTATTTTCTACGATTTTAAATATTTGTGTGAAAAATGGTTTCTCGAATCAACAAATCCATAGCTTTCAACTTGCCTTCAATAAATAAATAAAATGAAAATAAATAAATGAATAAATAATTTTAAAAATGAGCATATCTTTAAAATTTCTGATACACAGTATCGGTTGCTGGAGATACTAAAAAAAATTATTTTTCCGTACAACTGTTGTCATTGCTCGCTTTGTTGAGTTGTTAAAAATATGTTAAAGTCTGTCAATAATGTTCATATAGATGTACTGTAAATTTGAGCTATGTAATGATTTTTTTTTTTTTTCTTTCTGTAGGAAGGCTCGTAATGCCAGGTTTTGTACCTTATTCTGTGAGTAAACACGCTCTTATAGCTTTCAGTGATGGGCTGAGGCTAGAAGTGCAGAAATTTGGAGTTTCAGTTGTTACCATCGAACCATGGGCTTACAGGTGTTTTTTTATATTTTTATTGTATATATTTTAACACATTAATATTACCATAATGAAATAATTGTCGCGTCTAGCATGATTTGAAAAATACTGTTATTGTGAAATGGTAGAGTTTTATTTCATAACAAAATAAATAAACAAATAAGTAAATAAATGCAAGCTCTTAAAACAGAAGAAATAACTTCTCTTCTTACTTTTCCTCAAAGCTTAAGAATAACCAGAACATGAACAGGTTTGTGAGCAATTTAAAAGAGATTAAATCACAAAAACTCATAAATCTATTAACTCTGGTGTCCAAATAGCTGCTTGTCTAACCTGTCTTTCGCCTCAAGAAGGTGACGTCAAATGAAGTCTGTAGCTATCGTTGAAAAGGTAGATAACCAGAGGCTGAAACTGGAGTATGCAAGGCATGGTGTCGCATAGGAGCTCGAAGCTTTAAGGGCACCTTGCGAATTCTACTGAACTAGATATATAAATTTAAATTAGAAAGAAGATAGGAAGTAATTTTATATTTTTTTTTCCATAAAAACATGTACATTGACGCATATGAAACAAGAGAAAAATGTCAACTGAAACTAAACTGGTATACAAAACGAAAGATTCTGCATAATCCGTCTGAGATGAGCGTTTTCAAATTATTAGTGATGTCATTAGTGACAGACTGGCTATCAAGTCTTTTGTCAGAGCCGCGTTTAAAATTTGTTCAGGTGAGTGTATGAGACGATTTATAAAAATAAAGAGTAATATGTAATGAAACATTCATGTAATATTTGTTGTCATAATTTTTAAAAGCACATATGAAAATACTAGTTCAAGTCTTTCTTGCCCTCCCCAGACAAAACAGAAACCTCATGGGGCTATTGTAATGTGGTGCAAAACTTGAATTAAGCTATACAGAATTATAATCCGAAAGCCTGAATACCGAAATAATCAAAAGCGGTTCGGTTACCAATAACATAACCCTATCGGAGTAGCACGCCCCCTTATGAATAATCCTGAACCTCTCTTCTCATCTTGGGATATAATTCCACACATATATTTTACTTTGTCAATAATGCAAAACTATTGAAGAGCGCCTCCTCAAAACCAAGGAATTCTACGTGAAAATCATTCTAAAGCAGGTATAAGTCGGTACTGTAATCTGTTAAGGTGGTCTACTACAGCAGCATTACAATACTAAAAATTTTTTTACACGCAGAATCGCTAATTAAGAAACTATGTTGCGTGCAATTTGGCAGAAATATAAAGCAATAGGTCAGTTTTCGAATCACAATGTTAGAATCAGGTTTGAAATGAAATTTACTTAAATATTATATTTTAAAAAAATTAGTTTGAAATACGTAATTTTAATGTGTAGTTTGGAAAGCCATCAATAGATGGCGCTACGAGTTAAAATTTAACATTGTAATCTTATTTCTGCAAAAATTCACGAAGTAATTGATTTTGATATCAGTTATAAATCATATTTTGTTCTAAATAATATTTAGAAGCGTTTCATATATTCCTTTATACACAGTTTTCACTAAACATTGTCAGCTGTCAGCAGAATGACGTTTACGGCAACCCTATTGCATTGCTATTCCGCACTCGTTTTGTTTACATTTATTTGTACTGTGGTCAGTTTGCAAAAAATATATGCGAAAATATCAAGGACGACCGAAAAAACATCCTGGTTTTAATAAAAGATCCAGAATTCAGCGTAAACAAACGTCGAGCTCAAGAAAAAAATATGAAATTAAATTCCCGAGATGTGGAAGATTCCGAACAAGCGGATGTTTTCGAAAGGTGAGAAATAATTTATTCTTTATATCGACTACCCCGTGTGTTTATGATTTCGTAGTAAGTTAATTCCAAGTAAAATGTGCGTATTTTTTTTTATTGAAGGTCAAAAAATTATTGATACAACTGCATCTGTGTCAAAGGAGAATCATTGCCCGGATGATTTTTTTTACAAAGTAAGTTTTTTTTTTTTTTTTTTTTTTTTTTTTTGTATGTGTGTGTATGAGGGGATGCTAATAATTGTTCAATTCTGTTATAAGAATTTATTCCTCCATTCACACTAAATTGTTGGGAAATATTGAAAGGGTAAATTCCAATTCACAAGGAATTGCTGAAATAATTGAATCTTTTCAAAAGTATGAGCATGTTCTTGCGATCTAAATTGAATTCACCATCATTACATGTATTATTGGAAATTTTATAGTCATATGTTTGCTACGAAATGCTTTGTCAGTTACCTATGGTATATTTTAACAGGTGTATGCACATTTATTCATGTGCTCGCTGTTCAACTTGCTTTTTTTTATTATGTCATTTACTTGGATGTTAAAACTTTCTTTTAGCGTTGGAAACATTTTATGATCATTTAGTAAAATTTATATATAAATATATATTATTGCTTGTTTATTTATGGTTCTGTGTATTTGTCATGTATGCATGTTGTGAAGTGTAGTTTTTGAAAAATATGTCACAAATGTTAAATTCCACCAAAAGCTGAATTGAATTGATATTGGGATGCAGGTAATTAGAAAATATCTGCTGTGTATTTTGAGCGTAAACCAAACTAGTGCCAAGAATGGGACCAATACGCTCAGGCTTGCTTTCTAGCCTTTTTGCCATTGTCCAAATTGAATTATCTCCAGTATAAAGGGAGTGAATGCTTTCTCTGTATAACATTAAAATATCTGTCTGATCAAAAATCTACCAATAAGAAACTTTTCATATATGTTATGTGACAGACTTTCTGCAAACAGAAGTCCTCAAGCTCTGTTCTTGTACATGTTTTTTAATTGTGGTTCAGATGTGTACTTCTCAAAGGAATTCTTCTCATAGGAAGATTGATCTGAACATTTAAAAAACTATATTCTGCTTTTAGGGGCCTAATATTTTATGCCCCTAAAATTAATATTGAAATTTCTAAAATGTTGAAAAATATGTCATCTGGATTCTGTACAAAAAATATAATCCCTTTTTCATTTCTGCATTTGCAATTCCTGCATTTTCTTTATTCCTACATTTTTTAATTGGAAGGAATTTCATTCGCAGAGCCCTCTAATTTATTCTTACAAATCATGTAGTAATGTACCATTTTAGATAGATATAAATAACACATTTTGTAATTTTTCTAAACTGTGGTTATACAGCATGATATAATAGCTACACAGGGTATGGCGAAACAGTATACAGCAATATCTGTCGCACTGTCTGAGATGGGTGGTAGTCATACATAGCTTAATGCTTAAATTTGTTATGTGTTATTTATTTATTCATGTTTTTTTTTTTTTTTTTTTTTAATTATGTTATAGCAGTTTATTTCTTTCATTCTTAGGTCCGGAAGTGAAAAAATTTGACTTTTCTACGCCAGAAGTTACAGCTAATGTTCCTAAGACAAACCAGGCTTTCCTGAGGTAAGTTGGTTTATTTTTAAAATAGATATTAGCTGTGCATGATATTACAGTTACTTAATTATGGTTAACTAATTATGTATTAATTTAGAAGTCAAGCAACCAAAATCAGCGTTATATTTTCAAATAGTGAATATTTCAAAATATGATGCTGATTTTTGTTGCTTGACTCTCAAATTAATACTTGGTCGGTGTGTTATTGTATCTTAATTAAACTAATTATGGTTCTTTTCTTCTCAGTTCTGATCTGGACATTTCAGTTATTGACTCTGACGTAGAAGGTAGAAATACAAGCTCTCTTTGGGGGTAAATATGTATTTCTCTATGCCAAAATTAAAATGTCATCATTTATGTTTTTCTTTTATGGTGTTACATTATGTTGTTTACATACTGATAGCTATTAAAACTGTTAAATATAATATTGTAGCTATCAAAAAGAGGGGGATGAATTTGATTTGTACCAAATTTGGACGTTTTGCATGAAAGAACTTGAAAATAAAAGATTTTTTTAAAAATATATTCATTGAAATCAGTGAAATTTTCAGTCGGGACACTGAAGCAAATGAAAATATTTTGGGGTTTGATTCTTTTGATGGGAGCCTCATCAATAAGCCTACTATCTTTTTTAAATATTGCTTCTTTTTCATTGTTTTCATGATGTTTTATGTTCCCTTCATGAAAGAGATTTTTAATAATTTAAATTTTGTTAATAAAATATAACAAAATGAAATCTGTGATTATGTGGCTGTTATTTTTTCCATATATATTTATTTGAGGAAAACCACAAATTTTATTATTTTACAGAATTTTTAAGAAAAATATAAGGATAAAATTTTTTAAATAATTCTGATTACTACCTTTGCTTTCCTCTCATAATGTGCCTCAAATTAGAGCAATTAGACAACAAATTTAAGTCGTGATCTTTTTTTCCAAGTTTTTTTTTTTAGGCTTAGGAGTATAAATTGCTTATCCCCACAAGACAGTGCATCTTCTTAGTATGCCATCCTAAGGCTCCGTTCACATGATGGTATAAATGTCATAGACGCATAATCATAAGGCACAAAATGTGGGAGTTCCATTCACACCTGCGAGAGAGGAGGATCTAAGCCATAGCCAATTAGAGAAGCTAAATTTGTGCATGCATGTATGTGTCTACAGCTTTCTCTCTCAATAGGTTTTATGTATATGCTCTGATTGGCCGACTCTTATATCAAGTCGGCACAAAGTTGAAAACTTCAAGCTTAATGCCCAAACTAGTTTTTGTGACATAGCAAGGTCTGACTACAAAGCGTTGTTAGTTGGGAATTATGACATTTATACAACGGCTTGAATAGAGCCTTAGAAAGCCATTTGGTAACTGAGTTATCCACCATGAAAGAGTTATTCTTGCCCCTCTGAATTCAGTGTTTACTGGAACACGAACATTTTATACTCAGGTGTAGAGGCCCTTCATGTGAAACCTCCGGCACACAAAGTACTGACTAATATTGCACGAGCAAATGACACTGCGAGCATGGAAGCAGCAGTTGTGAAGATGACTCATCTTCTTGTAGTAATATACTGGTAATCCAGTGTATTATTATTGTTAATTTATTTGCTATCTGTTGCCTAAATTTCCTAAACCTAATTGCGAATGGGCTGCCTGCATGGGCGTTTTCATGGTTTTCCCCGTGTATATGAGCCATTTCCCTTAGAAAGTCCTCCATGAAAGCATTCCTCCTCTTAGGAAGATCAAGTGCTTTGCTGTCATCAAAAAAGCCAAATTTAAACCTAATTTGTAATATTTATATATATTATATATATATGTATATATATTGTATATATATATTTTAGCTTGGAGTCTGAGCCTCTTCAGGAGAACCTAATGATGAATTTCTGTGTCCTGATTCACCTTTAATTATCGAAAGGGAAGATCGACGAAAGGCAAATCCATTACCATCTGGCAGAACAATTTGCAATATGTCTTTTGTAATAGTGCAGGCTAGAACATTAGAGCAACATTCCCTAAATTGTAAATTTGGAGGATCATTTATTTTTAACAAAGTGATTCGACGTGGTCTTGTCACTACATATAACTATGTATGTGATAAAATTTTTGCGAGAAACAACAATTTGTTCATGGGAAATTCCGTATATGCCTTATCTACTGCAAAGAGGGCTTGAGCGACGTATATGAGCTTTTACCTTTGCTTCTTGTGAGCGAACTACTGGCAAAATAATACAGGGATGTGCACAGGAAACTATGTGTGCTGCTATAGAAGAGGAGAAAAGAAAGGCAGGCAGAACTTCGCAATGATAAAGATAATGATGGTTATCACTGTATAACTGTCATTGTTGATGGAGGTTGGTGTAAAAGAAGAAGCTATGGGCATGGTTACAATGCTTCAAGTGGCATATCTGTTATTATAGGCATGGTCACCCAGAAAATTTTTGTTTGTTGGAATTCGCAACAAAGTGTGCCTTATATGCAGTGCTATTGAAGATGGCAAGATGCCAAATAAAGTGCACCTTTGTTGGCGAAATTGGAATGGGCCTTCTACAGGTATGGAAAGCAGTGCCATTGTGGAAGGTCTGAATTATCTCCAGTGTGTTCACAAAATACGTTGTACTCGACTTGTTGGAGATGGAGATGCTAACACAATGGCCAAAGTGAAAGAAAGCATTTCATATGGAGGACGGGTGATCAAAGTAGAATGTGCTAACCATGCTGTTCGAAGATATCGCAGAGCTCTTGAGAAACTTCAGCAAAATACTGCGCGCTTCCCCGGGGCTAAAGGAATTGCTGCCCGTAAATTGCTGAAAATTAAAATGCCACTGTTAGTCAAGAGGTGCTAGAGTAGCTATAAAAGCTCATGCTTTACCTAGCCATTATCAGCACACACAAGAAGCTATTGATGCATTAGTATCTGACTTGAGAAATGGGCCACATCATATATTTGGCAAGCATGATGCTTGTAGTGCTGTTTTGTGCAAAGAAAGGTGCAGAGTTGGACAGCACATACAATGAAATTTTCCTTCCTCGGGTATGTTGCAAGCTATTGAAGCAGAAGTGGGAAAGAGTACTGATATCGTGTGTAGCAGCAGTACTCTTATTTGGAATGCCACAAATAATCCTGCTGAAAGCTTCATGAGTCAAGCTGTGTAAAACATCTGGTGGAAAAAGAGTTGATTTTTCCAAAGCTGGTGGCATGAAACAGGCGTGCGAAGTATTGCTGTCATGGCCT